CATGGCAGCCCAGCCCACGCATGGCGGACTTGAAGTGTCAGGCACAAACTTTGCACTCGCGCGCGACTCTTCCGGTGCTTCCTCGGGGTTGTCACATAGCCTTGCGGTCAAGTCTGAATTATGTCATTCAAGTTCATCAAGAAGAAACTTCGGACAATTTCCTGCGTTACTTCCCTGTTCACTTTGCGGCGAGTCGTTCAGAGTTCGCTGAGTGACGTAGATATACATTTCAGCAGCTGAAATATGAGGAATAAATCTGCAAAAGAGTAGATACATCCCCATGTCAGATCAGAATGTGTATCGGACATAAATCGCGACATCTGACCTCCTTTCTCCCGCGGAACTTCCTCGTTTTCTCGCGTTCTGCTTGCTTGTCTCGCAGATCGCATTAATAACGTAAAATGTCGGATTATTTTGCGATATTTTATTTTAATCTCTTCAGGTTTTGTTGTATTTTTTCGTACAATAAATTAATGGCTGTCCAGAAAAGTTTGACTGATAAAAATTTGGTCCCGTCACACAAAAAGCATTGGTGCCCGGGGACTTCCCTCGCCTTCCCATTCCGCTTCTGTGTTGCAGTTCCAGCGTAGGCCGCCGGGCATATGGATGGCGCGCCTATCCAGCCCCGGCAGCCACTGCCAGCCTGCGTGCCTGATGGCTTGTGGATAGTGGCAGCCATTGATCGCGCGACGTCAGCCAGCAGGCACCGCAAAGGCCATTGATTACGTCCTGCCTCTGTGCACCCCCCCCACCTGTTGCCGTGCACGGACCTCGGCCATGGCATGGCTTAACAGGGGCCTAAGACAATTACTCCTCCTCTCGGCGTGCTTTGTGTCCATATGCAAATGCGCAGCGCCTCCGATAGCCCAGAAGCGGAGGGCGCCACCCCATTCCCTGCTAATGGCTCGAATCCCGCTCGCGATAACAGCTGAGCGCCCCGCAGCCCTCGTCGGCCGCGCGGAGGGATCGATTTATAACGATACGAGCACAGGCCGCCCGTTAGCGAGTTAATGAGCCGGAGATGAATTGGGGTAATTGGAAATTAGCGATTGATAGGCAGAAAACATCGGGGGAAAAATGATCGGATTTTCTTGATAGGCATGAAAGTGGGCGTCCCCGGATGTAGGTGTCCAGGTAGGCTGACACCGCAGGGGCAAACCCAAGGCTCATCAGCTGTACCTGGTAATTATAACGCCATTAACTGTCATTTACGAATGCCACCCTAGAGCGTCCATCTCTACTATACGAGCGCGGTGCACCGCTCGGCATACGCTATTCGCCCCTATGCACGGAGACTCAAGAGCGAGGTTCCCCCGCGCCCCGCCATCACTACCGGCCCACCCAGAGCCTCGTGGGTAATTGAATGTCGACGTCGAACGGTCTTGACGACGCACTTGGCCGGGGAAGGGTTAACGTCTTTCGCCCCAAGATTCGACGCCGCTCGAGTGGGCGGCCGCCCGGAGATCCCCGCGGTTCACGAGGCGACACGTTCATTGCCGGAGACGCCCGCCCGCCCGCCGCGTTGCTCTCTGCTGCCCGAGGCTTCCCAGGGCTATCGTGTGTCGCCGCTCCGTGATTTTTTCCGGATTGTTATGATGCAGCACTTTGGACACCTATTAGAAGAAAATGTGAGGGCGGGAGGCGGGGCAGGCGCCTTGCATAACGGTCGGCCTTTTTACGTGTTAAGATACGTTTCTTGTTTATTTTGGCTGGATGTGGACTTGTCTACTTTCAGGGCTTCTGTTTTCTTTAGATGCTGGGATGATGGCGAGGCTGGCGGCGAAAATACCCGTGTGATTCATGGGAGGAAGGTAGAAAATGTGATTCTGAATTGTGTTTCTGACAGATCATTTGCGACACTTATTTATTTTGTTTCGAGAGTTTTGCGAAAGAAATATACGCAGTATATCTCTCTCTCTCTCCTTCTCCCTTTCCCTTTCTCTTCTCCATTCTCTCCCCGTCCCTTTCTCACCTCCTGCCCCCCCCCCCTCGCCATGTGAACAGCGAGTATAAAGTCCGATCCAAAGCACAGGTGATGCCCGGCAGACCCAGTGACGCAAGATCGATGCCTCTATAGACTTTCCGTTGATTCCCACCGTTCCCCTTTCGTGGCCCCCTCCCACCCCCGCCACCCCTACCTTTGGAATTTCGTCCCCATTGTGGCAGTCGCATTCTTGATCCTCGCCCCCCTATCTGCCCCCCCCACCTGCTTATCCTGCTCTCCCCCCTTCCGGTGAGATGTGCAGGGTTGAAGGAAAGGTGTGTGTGTATGTGAGAGGGAGGCAGGCAGGCAGGAACACACACACACACACACACACACACACACACACACACACACACACACACACACACACACACACACACACACACACACACACACAAAAGAGAAGACGGGAGTATGTGTATTTCCTTTCTCTCCGAAAAATGTATACCTGGATCGATTTTTTTCCATTGATATTTCAAAAAGAGCAAAAGAGAGAGAGAGGAAAAAAAGAAATGACGTAAATACTGAATGTCTCCTTCTCCCCTCCCCCCCTCCCTATTGTACAGTACCAACGTGCGTGAAATGCCCTCCCCCTCCCCCTCCCCTCAAAAAGTGGGGTTGAGGCTGAAAACAAGTTCACACAGACCTGATTTCAAGCTCTACAACGGGGGGAAGGGGGGGGGGCGATGCCAACTCGGCGATACAGGAGGCCGGGAGCAGCAGAGGTTAGACGTGCCTGGGCCTGATGGCTTCGGCGCTGTGTAGGCAGACAATGCATGCTGTGGCTGTACTGTGGCTGTGGTTGGTGAAAGCTCGTGGCAGAAGGTACATGTCATAAATTCTGCGGTTTCTCTCTCTCTCTCTCTCTCTCTCTCTCTCTCTCTCTCTCTCTCTCTCTCTCTCTCTCCTCTCTCTCTCTCTCTCCTCTCTCTCTCTCTCTCTCTCTCTCTCTCTTCTCTCTCTCTCGTCTTCTCGTCTTCTCTTCCTTTCCTTTCCTCTCTTTCCGCTCTCTTATGGCGAGGAAGTGAGTAAGCGGCTGCGGTAGAGATTGATTAATTGTCAGTTTGCGCAATAAGAGTGGAGATGAAAACGGGAGATGGCAAGTATGCGGATTCGAAATGTGTCAACGAAAGCTTTGTTTCTGGCGGGTCAGGCAGTTTAATGGGAGTGAATGGGGAAAAAAGAAAGGTTGTCTCTCTCGCTCTCTCTTTCTCCTTCTCGGTGGCTCCTCCTCCTCCTTCTCTCCTTCCCTTCTCTCTCAACCCTTTCTCCTTTCTCCTTCCTCCTCTGCCCCCCCCCTAAGAGCCCCAGGGTGGGTGCGCACCAAAGGGCGGCCTATGGGGGCCTGGCCGTTAAAATTCAATGAGATCGTAAATTAACACGTAGCGCCATTGTCAAGGCCGGGGTATGGGATGACAGTGGAGAAAGGAGGAGGAGGAGGAGAAGATGGGGGAGGAGGAGGAGGATTTAGGAGGAAAGGGAGAACGGAGAGAGGGGCGATTTGGGAGGAGGAGGAGAAGGAAGAAGGAGAGACATAGGATGGGAAATCTGCCCGCCAGCTCTGTGAGTCCCCATTCGGATGTCGCTTGTGATGACGGTGTGGTGGAGAGGGACGGGGTCCACCTCGATCTGTTTTGGCTGGAGTGCTTGCAAATGCGACAAGTGCCAGTCATAACTCTCGGGTGAAGCGTCGGGGTGCTGTCACGTGGCTGATGGGCGAAGCACGTGTTGCGCATTCCTTCCTTTTTACTCGCTCTCATTATCCTTTTTCGTGTTCTCGCGCTCTCGCTCGCCCGCTCTCTCTCTCTCTCTCTGTCTCGTTCATTCATTCATATACATGCTCTCTCTCTCTCTCTCTCTCTCTCTCTCTCTCTCTCTCTCTCTCTCTCTCTCTCTCTCTCTCTCTCTCTCTCTCTCTCTCTCTCTCTCTCTCTCTCTCTCTCCTCTCTCTCCCTCTCCCTCTCCTCTCTCTCCTCGCTCTCGCTCTCTTCTCCCTCTCCCCTCTCCCTCTCCCTCTCCCTCCCTTCTTCGCTCTCCGCTCTCTGTCTCCGAGGCCGAGCGTGGTGCCGACGGAGACCCTGCGAGCGCACGCCTCGTCCGCGCCGCATCAATGGGCGAATGAAGGCGCTTCCCCTCCGGCCGTGGGAACCGAGGAACCGAGCCCCCCTCCCCCCCCCTCCAGTCCAGCGCCCTTGCAATGCCCCCGGTGACAACGTCGCTTTTTGACCGACCTCGCTGGCCGCCTCCTCCCTGGCCTTCTTTTCTTCTTTCGTTGCTTTCTCCTGTGTCGTCCCTTTTTTCCCTTCTCCCCTTTTTCCCCTTCGTTTCTGTCTCTTTCGAGTCGCCCTTTTCTCCGTCTTTTTTCACCCCCACCCCACCCTACACACACACCTTATTTTGTGCCCCTCCCTTTCACTCGTTCGCTCCCCTTCGGCCGTGCCTTGCCTTTCCTTCTTTCCCCTCCCTTCCCGTGTTTCTCACTCCTTGCTAGATTTCTTTTGACTCTCTCCCTCTCCCTTTCTCATCTTTTCTCTTCTATCCCCTCTCCTATCCTTCCCGCTGAATGTCTTTTCTTCTGTCCCTCCCCCTCCCCTTCTTATCTCCTCTTCACTGCCTCTCCCCTTTCCCCCTTCCCTTTCTCTTCTTTCCCCCCCTCTCTCACCCCCTCCTCTTTTCACCCCTTCTCTTGTGCTCATTCTGCCCTCCCTCTGCCCTCCCCGCCCTGTATTGGACCCATCAATCCTAACCCCCCTGCCGGTCGGCGCCGCCAACCCCTGTAGCAGGTTAAAAGGGAATATCCTTATCAAACGGCGCTGCGATCCCTTCCTCCGTGTTTGTGTTTGCGCCTGTTTTTGTTTGGGTCTCACGCCTCTGTTCTTGCAGAGACCCAGTGTTGGTTGGGCGAAGGTGGGCTCTCAAGGCCGCTGTTCTTGCTTATGGTCATGTGGTGTTTTGAATGTGCTCTGTTGATATCATTTATGCAATATTAATGTTTGGCTTTTGTTTTCTCCTGCAGATACATCATACGAGAAGGCGTGTGGGTCGGACAGGCGTGGGTCTGCCCCCGCCACGCCTATCCTGGGGGCGCGGCCCACGGATTCAACTCCAAACAGATTGGTGGTTAGTATTACAGTTTTCCGTTTATTGTCACAATTTCTTGGGGTGTCCTTGCTCCAGGCTTCGAGGCACGTGTGCGCAAACAGCTCGCTCGCTCGCTCACTCACTCACTCACTCACTCACTCACTCACTCACTCACTCACTCACTCACTCACTCACACACTCTCACTCACTCACTCTCACTCACCTACTCACTCACTCACTCACTCACTCCCTCTCACACACACACACACTGCTAATAAGGCTTAAAACGGAAGACGCCAAGAAAGAAAACGAGAGGAAATCCAACCCAAACAAAGAAAAAGAAATTGAGGACAAAAAAAGCGCTCTTGCGCCACTCCCTCCGACGAGGCGCTACGAACTCGCGCTTCCTCCGGCGGCAGTGTCGGGTGGCGCGCGCGGTGGAGCAGACGGGGAATGAGCTCTTGCGGTGAACTATGAACGCTGAACAATGAACTCCGTTAGGCCGCGTGAGTGCCAGTCTTACGCGAGGCTGACCAGATGACCCGAGATCTGACCTGGCGTCGGAGTGACAGGAACTTTATCTCTTCGCGTGTGACCCTCCTGCGTCGTCCATGCAAGCACAGTGCCGGTATATATTGCAACAGGCAAGTTTGTAGAGTTTATGCCCGACGTCATCCCTTGCCCTCTGGCTCTGCTCGCCCGCTTGCCCCTGGGAGTCCTGCCCCGCACACGCTCCCACACGTCGCCTAACGGTTCCCGGCCTCTTCTGCAACGTTTCCGACGCACTTCCAGGGAAAGGAGAAGCCCCCTCGCGGGAAAAGGGCCATGCTGAGCGGCCGTGGCCTTCGTGTGCATTTTTTGTGGGTCGCTGTTTGTGTTTAGGCTTTGGATTCAAAAGTTGTGCGGTACAGCCATCTTAGACATGCCCTACCCCCTCTCCTCCCCTCTTTCCCACCCCCTCCCCCTTCCCCTCCCCTCCCCTCCCCCACCCCTCCTCCCCTCTTCCCCCCCCCTCCTTTCCCCCTTCCCACCCCTCCCTCCCTTCCCCCTCCCTCCCTCCCCTCCCCTCCCTCCCCTCCCCCCTCCCCTCCCCTCCCTGCTCCCCCCTGCATGACGGCCATCCGGCGTGACGCGCAGGACTGCCCCAGTCGAGCCAAAGTTCACGGGCGCTGCACAAGGACATCCCCGTGGGCCTTGCATGCGCTCCTTCCCGTCAGTGCGCTTACCTCATCGCACGGGAGTTCCCCAGCGCGGCGGCATTTGCGGCGGCGGCATCAGTCTCGTCGCGGAGAGAGTGTGGTTCGAGTGGCTGGCGAGATGCTGCGCCTGTACATGGGCAGCGAGGAGAGCCTCGTGTGGGACTCCGACGGCGTCATTTACTCCATCGGCAGATCGGTAATGGATCGTGTCTGTGCCTGTGTCTGTGTGCGGCCGTGTGCGTTTATGTATGTATGCATGCATGTGTTAACGTGTGAGTATAAGGTCGTGGAAGAGAGTGCAATCGTATTATTTGCGACTGGTATAATAGGTGTGCAGTGATTGTGCAAGATATACAGTTGTCCAGCACGTGAGTCCATTCCGCTTTGTGACATGACCTGGCATCGCGAGTGACCTCCGTTGCCGTGGAAGAGGCCGGCCTCCGTGCGGGGGGGCTGCGGCGGCACCTGCGGCCCGTGGCACCGAGCGGGATTCCCGCGCCGGCCAGCTGGGAGCGATTGCGCCGCCCGTGAGAACAATCGGCGTCTTATGGCCGCCCGACGCGGCGGTGCGCTGCAATTGCAGAGAAGGCATTAACGCTGGGGAAGCGGCCACCCGTGACGCGTGTGTTTGAGCCGCTTCGTAAGTGGGGCATCAGAGGCAGCCGTTGTGGCCTGTTGTGTGCGGGAGCATCGGGAGTGCCTACGTGAGTGTGATGAGTGGCACTCTTGGCGTGTCTCTGGCCCCCTCTCCCTTTCCCTATCTTCTGTATTCCCCTCCTAGCCCCTCTCCTTTCCAGTCTCATTGCCTCTCGTCTCTTCTCCCTGTTCCATCGTCTCCCCCTTTTCCTCTGCCGCACCTCGCCCCCCCCCCTCAAGTCTTCTTACTCCCCACGCACTCCCGCCCTCTGTCCGGAGTACGGAGAATTATCTCAGGATTCACGTCACGCCTCAAGTCTTACTCTTCTATTATTGTTTGTATAATTTCCGACATTTCCTGCGGAGAAGTGTGTGAGTGTGTGAGTGTATGTGTGTGTGTGCGTGTGCGTGTGCGTGTGTCTTCAAGCTAGTGTTTGGGAATCGTGGAGTTCCCGCAGCAGCTCTGGTGTCACTCCGTCCGAAAGCAAGAGTTGGTTACCAGAATCCTCCGATCGGGGCCGCCCTCTCCCGCGTGGGGGCGGCGCCGGAACTGCCACGCTGGCGATGTCGTGAGCGATATTCCCGAGGGAGTCGCGTGTTTCTCCCTCTTCTCGGGTATCTCAAGGTCGAGAGATCCAGTCGCCCTCCGAGCGGAAGTGCGCCCGAACGCGATTGTGTTGCATGCACCTGTTACTATTTTGGACGTCAGCTGGCCGTGAGCGGGGGTGTGGGGCACGAGGGGTGGGGGGCAGCGGCCAGACGGGGCAGCCGGGATCCGTCTGGCCGCCCGCACCCACCTTGCCCGCGCTGCATTCCACAGCCGCCGACGCTCTCCCTGCGCGCCAGGTATTGCAGGCCGCGCGAGGACGTCTCCGCGCAGTTGCATTGGTGCTTGCCTGCGTCCCGCGCGGAGTGCACTGGGCCCGGTCTGCGCTGCGCTTTTGTTTCCTCTTGGGTTCGACCGCCGTTGAAAGGTAACTCGGATTCTTCTTCTTGAATGCAGCCGAATGGAGTGTTCCGAGATGTTGAGCCGCGGGCGTGGAAGCCGCACAGGGAGTGTTGCAGTCGGCCCACACTCCCTGCGTGCCAAGGGGCGAACGGACGAGCTAACCCGCCCACGACTCATAATCCGTCCTCTCGGGCCACGGGCGCATAGGCAGTTTCTCTCTCTCTCTCTCTCTCTCTCTCTCTCTCTCTCTCTCTCTCTCTCTCCTCTCTCTCCTCTCTCTCTCTCTCCCTCTCGCTCTCCCTCTCCTCTCCTCTCTCCCTCTCCTCTCTCTCTCTCTCTCTCTTCTCTCTCTCCTCTCTCTCTCTCTCTCTCTCTCTCTCTCTCTCTCTCTCTCTCTCTCTCTCTCTCTCTCTCTCTCTCTCTCTTCTCCTCTCTCTCTCTCTCTCTACCTACCCCTACTCCTTCCTTTCCTCTCTAAATCGCGTTGAGAGGCGCAAGGGCCGCCCATCTGCCAACCCTCCTAAAACTCCCATTGGGAGGGAAGGCGTGGGCGTGCGAGGCATCCAGGTGTAGTGCGGAGAAGGAGCGACACGGGCGGCGCCCACATTCCGGGTCGTTGATAGAGAAAGCCTCGGAACGACGTCGGCGTCGGGGCTCGACGCGCGACCGTCCGGCTCGTCACGGGCCTCGGTGCCTCTGTTCTGCTCTTCTGAGGGCGCGACCTTCGGGCTCGGCGAAGCGGTTATGCAGGTCACGTGGTATGGCCAGCGGGGAGGATGTTGATTCAGAAAGGTTTCTTGTTAGAATGTTGATAATTGATATAGAATTAATTGTCTTTTGTGCTCCTTCCGTTTTTTGCTTACATCCTTAAGAGCGCACGGACGTGACGTTCGCTCGCGGAAAAAACGGACAGTTGGCAACGGAACGCTAGCGCCCATTGTCTTTTTTTTTTCCTACTAAGCCTGATAGGAAAATTCTTATTGCGCAAATAGGCAGGCGTGGGGCATTTTCTATATCTTTATTTATCTATTTCAAGAAATTACTACTGCTGAATAAGAATGAACATTTTAGCGCTGACTTTTCTGTCGAGCTCCTGCGACACGCCCTCTTCCGTTGCATGATAAAGTAACACTGCTCTTGGCTTGGCGATTCCTCGCGGATCTGTGTCGTTTCGTGTCGCTCGCCCGGCGCCCCTCGACGGCCCAGGCCCCCGCGGCGGAGGAAGTGGATCGGCAGCCCTGCGCGTTATTACAGTCATCAGCGGCTGTATTATAAGTGAGCGGGCGCCCCGGAGCGTGATGGCCCCCGGGCGCGTCTGGGCACGAGCGACGGAGTCGTTACACGTAATGTCTTTCCGGCGGGACGTGGCCTACCAGGAGGGAAAGTTCTGAGCCGGTGGGACTTCTTATGTAGTTCAGGGTGATGAACAGCGTCGGAGGTACATTTCCTGTCCCTGGCACACGCGCGCCCTTTGTTGCTCTCGGTTCCGCTAGCCTTTTTCTTGTGCCCAAGGAGGCGGTGCCTTTCAGGATCCTCGTCAACCGCAACGGCTCCTCTGTTGCATGAAAACTCGGCCGGACGGCGATGTATCCTCGGCATCTTAATGAGCGGCCGATATGCCATCGATCGTGCGCGACGTCGACTGTACCATTTGTTTCCATTGTGAGCCTTGACCTCAACATCCTGTCTTGAATGTCCGGTTGCGGCCGCTGGCGTCACTGCCGTTCTTCTGTGGCCGTCTCAGTTCTCCCTCGGACCGGGATGAAGGCGCACTCGGGGCGGCGAGCGCAAGGTGGTTGTTTTCGAAGTGATACGAGAGGAAATGTGCCTCATGATTGGTTATTGTCTCGAATTTATTAAGTGTAGTAATAGATGTTAAAGGTATTTACTTGTCAACACCAACGCTCAATAACGAACGTGCAAACCAAAACAAAGTTTCCCGAAAACCGTGTCTCCATATCCATACAAGTGACATCATGCCTTCTCCTTCTCCCGAGAACGACGCGCCCTCAAATCGTGGAACTCACACCCCTTTCCTCTTTGCAGAACTTCTTCAGTAAGAGGTCATTCAAGAGTAACCCCCTGAAGAGGACCAAGTCTGTGACCAAGTTGGAGAGGACCAAGAGAGGAGGCCGAGGAGGGATCAGCGGGATGCTGGACTCGGACCCCCTGAGCCTGGGGCCCTCCAACACGCGGCTCCGGTCCTCCCGCTCTCACGAGTCCCTGTTATCTAGTCACAATATGATGCACACGCTAGACCTGGCAGCTGGTAAGGAAGGGTTTTTAAGGAATATGGTTTTGATTTATTTATTATTTTCATGGTGGAATATTTTCAATTACCCTGACGATTGTGTCTGAGGATTATTTTGGAGAAAGTTCGGTGGATTTGGTTTCTAATGACTCGTTTATCTGCAGGTGAGGTGACTATCAGACCCCTCCACGCCAGCATTCTTGGTCAGGAGCACTGTTTCCAGGTAAGACAGTTCGTCGCCGGTGCTTACGTATAATCGCTTGTCTTTTATTGAAGGAGGCACACAATTGTTTATACTTGGATTATATGTAGAATTCTGATATTATTATTTTTGAGTCTTTTGCATTATTTATTATGGTCGTTATTCCTTTGCAGGTCACGTCCCCCACTGGCACCAGGTATTTCAGCTGCAGAACGGCTGACGAGAGAGACAGATGGGTGGACTCCCTCCGCAAGGCTGTCAATCCGAATTATGACAATGTGCGGAGAACAGAAAACTCCCTAAAAATATTTATTCTAGAAGCGAAGGGAATCGGCAGCAAGAAAAGGTATTTTTATAGATATGTTTTCTCGTGATATAATGTATTCAGAAAATATCAGGTTGAAGCAGACAATTTTTTTCGTTGCAAAATCTGTATCATTACGATGTATGCTTCCCATTTCCAGGTACTTCTGTGAACTGCTTCTCGACAACGCACTCTATGCACGTACATCAAGCAAGCAAAAGAGTGATATGTGCTTTTGGGGAGAACAGTTTGAGTTCCACAGTCTACCCACTGTGGAGAACATCAGCGTTGCACTCTATCGCGAAGGAGAGAAAAAGAGGAAGAAGGTGCGTCTTACGTGGGAAATATCGCTGTTTAATTGGTCAGAATAATTGTATCCATTTGCAGCCTTTGTCATATTAATTTGAATATCGAAATGATTCGTGTAACTACATGTGCGTCGTTTGCTCTTCCAGGAAAAGAATGTGCTGGTGGGAACCGTGAATATCCCAGTGGCCAATGTGAACAGCCGCTCACTCATTGAAAAGTGGTACCAAGTACAAAACGACGCCAGGGCTCCCAGCAAGGACCAGGCAGCACTAAGGATTAAGTGCAAGTTCCAGTCAATTGATATTCTACCCATGGAGATGTACTCTGATTTTATTCAGGTGGGTTCGAAGGTGACAACCAGTTGTTTGCGTGTTTATTACCTACCGTTTTTGCTTTGCCATTTTTATTTACGCTTTTTATTTATTTTACCTTTAATCAGTAAAAATATTGAAGAAGGAATGGAAGCACATGCTACTTCTTGTAGTATTCATTATTGCATAGAAATGCGAAAAGCCTTACTTTGTTATAGCTTGTTATAGCATATACATGCATTCATATGAACATTAATTTCCAGTATGTGAAGGCCAACTATGGAGTAATCTGCGAGTTGCTGGAACCCGCCATCAGTGTCAAGTCCAAGGAGGACATAGCAACAGCCCTGGTCCACATCATGCAGAGGGAGGGCATGGCACGCAACTTTCTGGCTGATCTTGTTATGATGGAGATTGAGAGAATAGGTAAATTAAACCCCTTGTCTTGTCTAATTCTCTTGCTTAGTTATTTGTTTGTTTAGGTTTTACTGTTCTGAGTTCTTGGTGTGAGAGGGGACTGTATGCTTCTTAGGATGGGAACTCTTCGTATGAATATATAAATAATTCCAGCAATTTGGTTTTAAAAAATCATTAACTCAAATATCTATAGTTAAAGGGCTCTTTTATTTACACATTACGATGTTACAGATGACTCTCACCTGCTTTTCCGTGGCAACTCTCTGGCGACAAAAGCTATGGAAGCATTCATGAAGTTAGTGGGAGACAAGTACTTGCAGGACACTCTTCGGCAGGTCATCAACAAGGTTGTCGAAGATGGACTCGACTGTGAGGTGTGTTATTCGCAGTGTGTGTTTGTCTTTGATGAATATATAGTTATTGGTTAAATAAGTTTGCTGCTACATACAACGGTTATGGAAATCTGTTGTTTCAAAATTATTTTTAACTTTGCTGATTTTTATAAATTCTCTTTCAGGTGGACCCTATGAAGGTGCCTCAGATATCATCCATTCAGAAACAACAGGAAAACCTCATGTATGTTGTTCGCATGACTTGGTCCCGCATTCTCAACTCCCACCCTTACTTCCCCCTGGAACTGAGGGAATGCTTCTGCCTGTACCGTGAAAAGCTGGCATCCATTGGGAAGCAGGGCCTCAGTGACAACCTGATCTCTGCTTCCATTTTCCTCCGCTTCCTGTGCCCAGCCATTCTCTCCCCGTCTTTGTTCAACATCACACAGGAGTACCCAGACGAGAGGGCTTCAAGGAACCTCACGCTCATTGCCAAGACATTGCAGACCCTGGCAAACTTTACCAAATTCCAGGGCAAAGAGAATTTCATGGAGTTCATGAATGAGTTTATTGAGTTAGAGCAGGCACAGATGAAGTCTTTCCTCAAGCAAATTTCTAGTCCTGCCACCCACGACCACCGAGTGTTAGAATACGATAGAGATATTGACATTGGGAAGGAGCTATCATCATTGCATACATTCTTCAATGAAGCACTGAGGAAGTTGGCAAGTAACACCTCAAAGAACAATAACAGCGTTTCACAACAAATGCACTTGGATAAGCTAAAGGAGCTTCTAGATGAAATTTCAGTGGCTCAGACTCGGCCGAACATCAACCTTGTGGGGCGTTTGTCGTCTCAGAATAGTGTGGAGTCACCCGTATCACCAACTACCAACATTGCTGACGCGGGCCGAATGGAGGATAAGCTTGGATACCAGAGCTTACAGAGAAACATTTTCCGGTACAATGACCCGACAGTTAGTGAAGATTATCGTCCAGTTGCTCCCCCTCCCATAAGTCACATCCAGCCCCCGCCTGAGACCCCATCCACACCCCGGCCCTCCACGTTGCCAAGAAATACGTACTTGATGGGTTCGGCACGCAAGCCAGCAGTTGATTTGAATACAGCTGATGACTACGTTCTTTTCTCTGCTTTGGAACCAGATGCAAAACCGAGAGAACCGAATGCCATTGGCCACAGCTACAGTTACAACCATCTTGCACCAGTCCCAGCACAGAACACCTCCCCAGTTCACACTAACCACAACCATCACCACCACCACCACTTCCACAACCACGCTGCTTGGTTCAACAACAGACAGGTGTTCAATGGACACCCGCAAGTGAACGGGCATGGTCAGGTTCATCAGAATGGCCAGATTGGTCCAAATGGAAACCCAGAGGAATCTCTGGATATGAGTCACGAGGAGAATGACAGAAATTCTGCGGGTGAGACGGAGACCAACATGAAAGGTTCTCAGACCTCCATCTCGCAACTGTCTAATGTTGCATCATCAGGGTATCAGAGTTTTGCGTATAGTCAGTCATCCAGCCCAGTGGACCCCTCAATAACGCACCATGATGCTGCCAATAATAATAACGCAGCAGCAAATAACAGTAGCAGCAGTAATACTAGTGGTGGGATCCATGCATCTCCCCATTTAACACCTCCACAGATGTCAGCACCACTTGCCTTCAACAACCCCATGTACCACCTGAATGCTGCCACCAGTTCCCCAAGACCCGTTCCCCACCGAGGGCCACGGATGACCCACCTCCATCACCATCACCACCTTCACCAAACTTCACAGCAGCAGCAAAGTCCAGTTAGCTCCTCTCTCAGTTCAGCCCATAGCGTTGAGGACCTGCAGACTGTGCCCACACTTGCTGCGGGGCTGGCACCTGGCCGAGGCCCCCAGCGGACGCACTCTTCCTCCAGTGAAGACAGCACGTCCCTAGCGTGTACACCGCCTTTGGAGCACAGAGCATTTAAGTCTGGTGCCCCTCGCACGAATCCCCGCTGCTTGCCGCCAGGGTGGGGTCAGCCCCCTGTTGGTCCAGGGACAACCCCCGACCATCACCACTCTACCTCAGACTTACTGGGAGGAGCACACTGTCGGAGAACCAAGATGACCCGCCGGCAGTCAGCAGAGGTTGGCAGCGGACGGCGAGCGATCGACGCAGCAGCCTCCCACGCGAGTACGCCCGACGCGTGTCAATCACAGAGTGTCAGAAACGAAAACCCTTGAAGAGGTATGTAAGGTTCATGTTATCTGAATTACATTGAAAGGCTACTTGTAACAGCTAATTAAGATTATAAGTCAACCACTGTATGATTGTGTTTTCTAATATATTTTGTTCTCTTTCAGTATGAGCAAGAAATTCTTGCATTGCGAACGGCCATGGAAGAAATGCATCTCAAATTAGTTGCTGCCGATGAACACATACACACCCGTCCTGAGGCTTCTGCCCCAGATGTCGTTCCGTCAGGTGTTCCTCACGACCCAGTCCCTCACCACCACTCCAACAGTCACCTTAATAGCAGTCCTCAGAGCCAGTCCTCGGCTCATCATCAACATGGCCGTCACAACCACCAAAATCCTCTTTATTCGCACTCGCAACAAAGAGCAGATCCAGAGATAGAGGGTGCTCACATGAGGGACTTGTTGCAAAAGTAAGTGGTTTGTGTGTATTTAAGCACGAAGTACCATGTACATGTACACAGAATGTACTGATTTTATAATATATATTTTTAACAGTTTCACGATGTTGAATAACTTAAACAATATAGATGAAAATAACTTTCACAAACAACTGTGTAACCATCTTTTTTTACTTCAGGCTTCAGGAACAGTTTCGGATAGAACAGTTGAAACTATCAGAACAACTGGAAGAGAAAGACGCTGTAATCCAAGCCCAGGAAGATCGGATCAATGCCCTGGATCGAACCAACACCCAATTGCTCATGGCTCTTGAGCACATCAGGGAGTTGTAAGTCGTCCCACATCGCAGAGTTTGCAAGACTTCATTACTCACCCGTAGGCATTGCTGGTGTTTGCTTTTTTTGGGTTTTGCATGGTTAACCTCACTCACAGCTGGTGGCGAAAGCACTGTTTGTTGGTGGGTCTGCTGCTATTTAAGCTATAAGATGAGGGTGTCAACACTGCTTATATTGTATTGCCTTGCTTGGTGCCTAGTTTTCAAAATTAGGTAAATGTTTTCATGAGTTCCTCTTTTCATTTGTGGCCAAAGCATGACGCTTCCATGAACATAGCTGGTGTTTAAGGGAGTCAATTTGTTGTGAAAATACTTTTTTTTTAATTCATCTTCTCTAGAGGCATTAATGGCAGCAGGAGGGAAGAGGGTAGATTGTGATATTCTTAAAATGAGGTTTGCTTTTATATTCGTAAAACAAAGTTTGCTTGGATAATTCCTGTGTTAAAACATGGTCAGTCAGTAGTTAGTAGAAACTGCACCTAGTTCAGAGGAAATAATTTCTTTGTAACATCCAATTCCACATCTTTTCTAACTAAACAGCCCTATACACATAATTAATCACTCATGATTTTAATCTTTTGGGCTTCAGATCCCCGTTTTCCAAGACAATGAAAACCTTCACAGGGATGTCACTAACTCATGCTCTCTTTTGTTACAGGAAACTGGGCCAAGAAAATCTCCTGAAGCATACGCCTCAGGAAGGTAGTCAGCTGTCTGACACAAGTGACTACAAGAGCAGCTCTTGTTGAACATCAAGCTAGGATGGAACAAAAATATATATATGTATTCAGTGACACTGAGTTAGAAGAAGCTTTATTTAAGGGCTATTGTAAACAGTGAACTCCTATTTTTCATATCAAAAAGAATTATTGCTTAATTATAGATGCCACCAGTATTTATCATGGTAATGCTGTATATGATGAAATGCTGATACTGGTATATACTTGTAACACATTTTTGTATCAGTGTATTGCTGATACTGAGTAATGGCAAAATATTCTCCTTTATAAGTGTTATCCCCTTCCCCCCTTTCTTCCTTATGCCCTCCCCTCCCCTATCCTACCCTTTCCATATCACATGCTGCCTGGATTTAGTATGCTGTGTGGCCCTTTCTCTAGTTCGTTTCTCAAACCCTGTGCATCATCTAGTTTCTTAGCCTATGTAGGGAAAAAAGTCAGTAAGATAAGCTGATCAGATACTGTTTATATGTTGAAGAGAAAAAGAAGTTATAGAGCCTCTCATACATTTTTTCTTTTTTTAATAAAGGCTTGGATTGCACTCATGATATAAGCCTAAGTCAAATACCACGCAAGGTTCATCATGGCTTATCATGTTTATGTAAATTTGGCTTTTTAATGAGGTGATCATTAAGAAGAGTATGATATTTTGTCTTGTTTTGTATCAAAGTTACCAAATGCCATAGCCAATGCTGCCTTACTGTTGGTATTATTGTTTAGAGGGAAAATAATCGCAGAGAATGGCACCAAAGATTGACGTTTTCCCCCCTTTTCAAGTTTTATAATTTTTTTATTTTCAGTATTTTAAAGTTTTATTCCCCCCCACTTCTTAGAAAGTTCAATTTGTCCACTTACCTAAAGTTATGGTAAGATGGAATAACTCAGCACAGAAATGAGACTTTATTATAAAGTGTTATTAGCAACGTAAAGGCAAACAATGTCAAGTAACAGTAATATCTGTGTTTACCTATATACATATATATTTTAAACTGTATCATATTTTTTCTCTGATCCATTCTTTGTGGTTATCCAGTTACTGCCTTGCACACCATTTTCCTGTGCACAAGAATATTGCAAGGCCGTAAGAACAACCTGACAGTTGACCTATCAACTAGAGCACCTCATTTCTTTGTATGTTTTTTTTTTCTCTTATTCTCCTTTTTTAATCTATACTTTATATGAATATAATCATTGCCTCATTCTGAGAGGCATCTCTAACCAAAGATTCACATTTATATGTTTGAATATAGATATATAATTTTTATTGCTTGCAGTTCAACTATTTACATTAAAGGGCTTTAAAGACAAAGATCGAATAGAAAAAAATACCGTTGACAAGATTACAGCATGTGTCAGAATGGCAAACCTTGAAATAGTGAAACCATAATGAAGTGAATAAAGGGATGGTGATAATTGCTTGTACATCATTACCTGTCTGGGTTGTGTCACGGTATAAACTTCTTATGCATTAGCCCATTCCAAAAGCTCTGATAGCCTGTTCTTTCGTGTATATGGCAGATGTACTGTATTTGTTTCAGAGTGTATTTATTTGATTTAGTTTATATTGAGTCATAGCTACTCAATTCTTTAAATGTATATAATGTAAATTTTTATAAATTATGTACACTGTTTGGTACCTGTTTCATCATGATCCTCGTGCACATCCGTTATGTTGTCCCGTTTAGACATGACTTTAGGTTATCCATGTAAATAAAAAAAGGTGTGAAAAAAATATAAATTTATGTGCTGAACTCATGGCTTTCCTTTTTTCCTTTATGATAAAAAATCAAAGCTTTGGCGAGATTAATTCCTTTTATTTTAAATAGTTAAATTAAATCTAATTTTATTATATTAACAAGATTACTATTAAGATTCTGTATACATTTGACTGCATACCTGGAAGGTTGTAAGTTGAATATATGTATCATATATAAAAGAAAAGGCATATATATTATATATATATATATAAGGTAACTACAATGACAAATATAAATTTCATCTGCTAACTGAAAAATATATATAACTCGTCGAATAAGCTTTGGAATTTCAAAAATTATCTAAGGTATGGTGTGTAGTGAAGTTAATGGAGTACATAACACCAAAAGCTAGAATAAATATTGGCAATAGATAACTACAACAAAAAGTCCTGAACAAGGAACTTCTTTATCTTGGAAATAAGTGATCTTAGTATGTAAGCAATTCTAACTAAATGACAAATGTCAGGAAATAAACAGTTTCATGCAGTATTTGAACATGCAAGCAGTTATTTTCTCACAATACATTTACAAGAGAATAATGAACTTTCTAGGACGTTGAAAGTACGAGTTAGTAAAATAGTTGTTACATGCAGTAGAGGAAGAAATATTTCAATTTATATTTACTGCTTTCCGTATCTACGTCATTTTTATCATAATGGTATCATATAATGCCACTAGATATCTGACATGAGCTTCACACCATACGTGCTATAACCACTACAAGCATCCTGGAACTACATTATTTACCAATAACATGATAACCATAACATCCTTAAATCTTAAGACTTCATTCAAAGCATTCAAAGACATTACTTGATACACCTCAATACCTTCCAATAAAATACGTCCACACCTTCACAATAAATAAATACTATTCAACCTCTCTACGAACCACCGCGCACAGGACCCAGTAGAGCGCCCTCCTTGCCTTGTGGAGGATCAGTTCACCAGCCTGAAGGAGGGAGAGGACAGATGCCCCCAGAAGCAGGCCCATGAAGCCTCCAATGCGGCTCACGAGGTTTGAGAAGGAAAAAGAGTAGGACTCCACCACTTCCTCGTACTTAGTTCCTGCGAAGTATACCTGCAAAAGATGGCAATGGATTCACGTTTTGAATGTGTGGCTGCGCGCGCGAGTATGTGTACGCCTAAAAAGAAAATGCGGATTCAGGTAGTAATGTTACACTCTTAGGAGGAATATAGTTTAAAAATATAATGACTGAGTGAATCTGTGCGTGCGCGCGCGCGCGAGCGTGTGTGTGTGTGCGTGTGTGTACACCATGACCATCAATTTTATTCATCCGGATTTCTCACCGTCACTGAAACGCAAATCGAAAGTCTTAAAAATTTCAAGATCAGCAAACGGAATATGAATGAAAATTACTGATCAAGACCTGCTTTAGTTTCTACCAATATATTTTAGCACTAACTAAAAGCTGTTTAAAATGGGGTGACACAATCAGCTCATGGATAAAAGATGTTAAAATTGAATTAATACACTAAACGTTTCATAAAACTAAATGGAAAACAGCAAAAAAATATTGATACTGACATCGAAATCATACTAAACACCATATGACCGTTGAAGGAATTGTTCAAGGTCTTTCTTGTCGAGCACATTTATTAGTTTAAAACATAAACATTAAACACACTAAATAGACAATAGTTTTTATCCATGCTTTAAATGTGTTGTAGATGAACCACAACAATTACAAACATACGGTAATGTAAATAGACATTGACGTTTTTAAAATCAGCTGCACCTGTGACATATTCCTGGATTTAAAAAGTCTTAAAAAAGCGTTGGGAACACGTAAATTTAAATAGCAGACTGCGTTTGACGTCATTTCGCTGACAGCTGAATGTCCCCCAGAAAGCAGCTGTAATAAATTTGAAACAGAAGGCTCTATTCTAAGAAGCCAGCTTCGTAAACTAGGTATTTCTAATCGTTTGAATGGATCGTATAAAAGGTTTTTATAATAATTCATTTTCTGGGAATTAATTGCAGACATCATTTCAAGCAAAGAAATGAAATTAATCTAACTGCTTCAAGCTTTCGAAGTATACACCGGAAAGACGCCTGACTTTTTGTTAGAGCGCTGGTAGGGATCTAACGCAGATTTGTTACCTATTCTCTTCTACCCTTCTGCTAGAATTCCAAGAATGGAAAATTCAAAGGGTCATAGCATTAGTTAACAAGGAACTACAACTAACTCTGACAATGACGCTTAAACTTCAACGCAGGGTGGAAAAACGTTAAAAGTTTTTTTTTTTCAAATGTCCAATTTATTTTTGTTTTAATGCTTTATCTATCTATCTATATATACCTATCCTATCTATATATGCACATATATCTATATATAAATTATATATATACATATCTATATATAATAGCTATATGTATATATAATAGCTATATATATCTATAAATATATCTTCTATTTATCTAAATATGTATATATTATATATATATATATATATATAATATATATATATATATATATATATATATATATATATATATATATATATATATATTATATATATATATATATATATATATATATATATATATATATATATATATATATATATATATATATATATATATATATATATATATATATATATATATATATATATATATTATATATATATATATATATATATATATATATATATATATATATATATATATATATATAGTATATATATATATATATATATATGTATATATATATATATATATATATATATATATATATATATATATATATATATATATTATATATATATATATATATATATATATATATATATATATATATATATATATATATATATATATATATATATATATATATATATATATATATATATATATATATATATATATATATATATATATATATATATATATATATATATATATATATATATATATATATATATATATATATATATATATATATATAATATATATATATTTATATATATATATATATATATATATATATATATTATATATATATATATATATAAATATATATATATATATATATATATATATATATATATATATATATATAATATATATATATATATATTATATATATATATATAATGTAATATATATATAATATATATAATATATATATATATATATATATATATATATATATATATATTATATATATATATATATATATATATATTATATATATATATATATATATATATATATATATATATATATATATAATATATATATATATAATATATATGAATAATATATATATTAATATAT